TTATTATTATTATTATTATTATTTTTTTTTTTTGTAAAGGAAGCTATCAAGTGCATGTGGCATTCGAGGACAGGGCCAGCTCCGGCCCAAGGCTACCAAGGCCATTGCCTAGGGCCTCCAACTTGAGGGGCCTTTAAAAAAAAAAAAAAAAAACATCCATGACCCAACAAAATATTTCCTTGTTTTTTTGGGATTGGGTCTTTAGCCCTTCAAAATACAACAAAATTGATCTAAATAAGAGGACCAAATTACTTGGGTCACACTAACTTACATTCTTGTTTAAGAAATAAAATGGATCTATAATTAAACTATTGTCTAGTGATATATTTTGTTATATTTTTCTATCTACCAAGATGGCAAGATATACCAAAAAAATAATAATAAAAAAAAAATCAATGCATAAAAAAAAAAAAATTAAAGAAATTTCCCCTATAATGTTTTCCTAACCTTATAAAATTTCTTTAAAATTTATAAGAGGGGTGTGTGTGTGTATTAAAAGTTCCCATTTCGCTTTTTAAAAGCTATAAAGAAATTGAATTTGAATTGATCATAATTGATATTAAAGAGACTTCTATACTTACTAAAAAAATTTATATTTGAAGGCCTCGTAACAATTTGTTGCCTAGGCTTCATAATTTTCAGGGCCGGCCCTGTTCGAGGAGAACCACCTTAACTACCATTGACGTGGACAATGCACTTAATTCAATCTTTTCTTGCATCATGTGTTAGTTTCTCTCTCTCTCTCTCTCTCTTTTTTTTTTTGAAATCCAACTATCCACCAGTGACTAAATTCTGGAGTCTACACATTGGCCCCTCAAGCTGCAGATAGGTTAAACCACAGGTTGTACTCCAAACTGATCAATGCTCAAGAGCCTCCCAACTGATCTGCCAAAGTGCTAGTTTTTCTATTTTCGTTGTACTTCAGGTGTCTTTTTATTTGACAAAGTTTCTAATTATGGCTATTTAATGTTCAAATGTTAGTCTTTGATTTGAGGGTTTCTGTTTTTTTCGCCTTCTGTTTTGTTTTATTTCTCTAATATCTTACAGCCAATGTATCAATTTGCATCGGGAGATCCGTTGCAGTTAAAAGAGCTGCTGAATATAAAGATTTTTTCTACACTGAGGATAAGGATGTAAGGGATTCAAACTTTTTTTCTCAGGGATTGTCATTAGTAGCTAAAATTTTCATTTTTATTGTGGTGTCGATGTAATTTAGGTGATTGAAGCTCCTCTACCAAAGGGCACCATTAGATAATGCAGTTGTTGTTCATTGGTTAGCTATTAGAGGAGTTCAACCCAATATTCCAGAAAATCCTCCTCCAGAATGTACTCGAGTACAACGATAGAGTCTAAAATATGTACAACAAAAGCAGATGTGTATATCTACGAATGATAGAATAATCCCTTTCCCCCATCTCTGGATACAGTTAATTTTTTGGCCGTGCCGTTGAATTAAACCGACTATGATGGCTTTATGTTCAATTCATAAGGGATTCGTGTGTTATTCACTCTACCCATGTTATAAAAATGATATACCTTTTGTTTGTCGCGGTAATCACTGTTCCTTATGATAATGCAAAGACTGCGTACAAAGAAGATTGAATTCTTGTTGACATCAAATTACTTGTAAAGCATGTACTTTCTTGTGAGCTTCACGTGCAGCTGCGGCCTTGTGTGCAAATCTATGTGATTCCAATCAAGGAAAAATTGACACCATTGGTTTTCTGATTTGTGCCTCAGCTAAAGACTTTGGGAAAGTCACAGATATTACAGTTAGTAGATCTGATCCTGCCCTCTTTAAAGAAGCCCTTGTGAGCTTGGATACCGACTCAGGGATCCATCCTTCAGTTCCTCACTTTACATTTTTTGTTGTTGATATGGTAATTATTAAGTCATTTCTTGTCCAAACTGTATCAACATTATAGGGCAAGGGCTCAGGATCTGATATTATGTAAGTTTCTTATCATCTCAATAATTTTGCTCTGATTTTTGCTTTGATGCGTTTTGTTTGGATCTTTCTTCAAAATCCACACATACACATCGAGCCCCATGTAAGTTTATGGTTACATTTTTTTCCCCATCTCATTGAGGATTAAGGTGGGAAAAACACAAGTTTATAGTCTATGTATAGTCTTTAGCAATTTCCTTGGGTGTTCATTTTATTTAGCAGACATGGTTAATGTTAACAACTTATTGATTCCAAGTTCCAAATTTTGGTTTCATATTAAATTTCATACTGCTGCTTTGCCGATGTTATGAGCCATATTAAAAAACATCAATTGATACAAAAAATGAAATATCATATGGTTGGTTGAAACATTTGAATATTTAGCTTAAGGCGGCCCATGTCAAACTTTTGATGTTATTCCAAATTAAGATAACAGAATACGGAACATTTTAAGTAAAGCGGAGGCAAAAAATTGTTGGGTGGTATTGGGCCTTCTCAACTCAAAAAACTAGCTCAAAAGATGAAACTTTCCTTATACTTATAAACCGATCACCAGCCATTTTCACAACCGATGTGTTACAACCTCAACAATCTCTCCCTTACACATTGGGCTCTGTGAGAGACCAAACTTGTCTCACCTTCACATAACGGGCATGGATGAGACCAAATCCGTCTCCTCTTTACACCAACTTGCATCTCCCATGACCGTTGGACCCGAAACTTGTTGATAATTTAGGCTCTGATATTAGTGTTGGATGGTATTGGACATTCTCAACTTCAAAAGTTAGCTCAAGAAATGAGACTTTCTCCCATACTTATAAACTGATCACCAGCTCATTTCACAATCGATGTTGGACAATCTCAACAAAGATAAGCACAGTGCTATCATTCCATTTTTGACGTGCCTATGGAAAACTGGTTCTGAGTGCAAATTTATTTTTATAAGCTTAGAAGTGTGTGTGGTGATGTGCTTAAAAAATTTGATCCAGAAGAAGGGAGTTTCTTACATCAAATAAGTTCTCTGACAATAATTGGGATCTTAGAAACTTCATGGCTAGTCTGGTTGCTTCAATATGCAAGAGGTAAGGATTGTCGTGGTTGTTTAACGATATGAAATAATTGGAGGAAAGAAACACTGGAGCTCATTTTTTATTTTTCATTGCTTAATTGGTTTCTTTGTAATTCAACTGACAAAGCAATACACTTGTTAGCGTGCAGCTGGCTTGTGCATTTACGATAGACTGAGGACGCTCCTATCACTATTAGCTCTACTAGCACGTGCTGTGTGGAAGAGTAACGGAGAAGTCATAACAACAACGTTAAGTATGAATCTGTTTGCAATTCTTAGATAAATGTTTTTTATTTTTATTTATTGATTTTGATCTTTCGTTGCATTTATGACATGCATTTGACGGCCCTAGTCATCTTTGAGGTTCATCACGATGAATGTGTTTATGGAAGTCGGTGAAATCTCCTTTGATTTTGCATTTGGTTTTAAGCACTGCCTAAGTCGCTGCTTGTCTCTAGACTATTCACTGTTCAGAAACATGTAAAAGAAAGCATATGAAACCAGTCCTATATCACCCAGGGAAATTGAGTGCTTCTTTGTAGGGATTTTGATAATTGATTTATTGATCGTTAGAGATAAAGTGAGTTCTATTTATGATAGAAGAATTTAAAAATGATGGTTGGAATAGTGAAATAACGATAAAAAAAAAATATTTTTAATTTGCTTAAACTCTATACCAATTGAAACTACATATGATTGAAGTCACAACCCTAGAAATACAGAATATATAAAGTTAGAAAGATGATATTAAGCCCCATTTTTGGGCTTCATTTTATTTAGCGTATTATTTACGCTTACGCTTAATCTATATTTTTTCTTTTCGTTTTTTATTTCCTTTTATAAATGAATGCTACATATTTTCACACATAGTATTTACATATACAACATATATTGCTGTCAAAAGGGAATTTTCTTTTTTCTTTTTTCTTTTTAACTACACATTTTTCAATAAAATAATAATATTATACGTAAATTCAAAATTTTTCTGTATCTATTAACAACATATTCTCCAAGAAATCATTTTTCCAAGATACATTTCCTCTCAAATTCATGTTAAAATGGATTCCATACGGGGGCTACAATTTGCAATTCTTTTGCAATGTAATTTAGTAGGATATGTCAAAAATAAAACTACTTGTATTCTTCATTATCTGTATACTTACATAAATTTTTATTTTTTTATTTAGGTTTAGAAATTGTAATTTTTCCTTTCAGACAATCAAAGAAGCCTTTACTGAAAATAATATAATCCAATTATAATCAAGAAACTAGTAATGTAGAGTCCTATGAGTGCAACTCCTGGAAACTCATTGCCAATCGACATGCCCAACTCTGCCTAATGTACATTGAGGCATAACTATCTGTATGTTACTGTATAACTTTCTTTTTCATCATCGTATAGCTACTATCTGACGTATTTTTTGGAAACCATTACCTTGATAAAGTTTGCCATAATCAGGTGAGGGTGAGCATTCCTTCACTTTGGTTCTTTAAAACCAACATGTTGAATCGGATATACAGCAGATAAGCTACCAAATACATTTCCTTATTTTCTTCGTACACGATATGTGCTATCATCTTTACAAAAAAGAATATGAGATTATAACAGGTTTAGAACAAAAGTCAATAGAGCACAATATGTAAAAATGAACATAAAAACTAGTCTGCAATTATAAAAATTACATACAACTCTGACACCGAAAGGATTCTGTGTATGGCGTACCCTAAATATTTATTCTTCACACGCCCAATTTGCTCCACAATAAGTAAACAGGTTTCCAAACGGTTGCATATGCATTTCATGTAACGCATCACTCCGTATCGTTCAAAATAGGAACAATTAGTGGTTTCATCTGTGCTAGATACACTATTGCCCACCTGCATAGGAATAAAGAAAAACACAGTGCATTATGTGCTCTCAAATACATCAAGCAGCATGAAAGATCATGCCTAAATTATTCAAAAGTAAGCAGCAACTTGACGACAAGCATAGAGCCAAATTTAAAGATGAACTCAAGTTTTTTGACAAAAGAGCAAGCAAAAAGAAAAAGAAAAAAAAGGAAAAAAAGGGCAACAAGATCAAGATTACTGATGTTGAACTCTGAAGAAGAAAGCCACAACAGAGAACAAAATTTTCCAGCCACGGTAACCTTAGTTGATCTAGGATTATAGTATATAATCCAGTTGCAAATTACGGTAAAACCTTTGAAGCATAATGGTTATTTACAAAGCAAGTAAAAAATTTGACAAGATTCATTACATGGAGGATACACTGATATGTGGCCAATAAAAAATAACAGTATTATGACTACAGTTTGTCAAAAGCATGAACACAATCAAAATCAGGAAAGGAATAATAAGATATTAAGAATACAATATGACCCTGTTTGGTTTAGATTTTCAGAAGATTTCAATAGAAGTTGATGGAATGTGTAGTTAAAAAGTTGTGGGTCCCATCAAATATTTAGTTAAAATCTAATTGATGACTTTGACTTATATATTAATTAGTTTTTTAGCCTAACCAAATATGGGCTATATATCTATTTGCTGATAGATAGGGAGTTTGACTTACATCATCCAACAACATACAGTTGCAGTAATGACCAATGTCAGGTGTAACCTGCATCAGAAGATAGAAACAGCCGCAAGCCAAAAATAAATTCCCAAAGCGAATGATACCTAACAATCACGCAGATAATTGCAATATTTTGACAGTATGCTAAAAAATTACACTTATTGAGTTGATTCTGCATAAAACTTTACCCTGACATCAATTACATCTGTAAAATTATGATTTATCAATATCGAACTAGAGTAAGTAGATTCTTTCCTGTAACTAAATGGACCACTGATGTTCTATCAAATCATTTGATCTCACCCAATTGTTAAATTTTACCTTATGTAAAAATTATACAAGAAGCTAACAAAAATACCAGTGATACACAACTTTCTCCTAGATAAAATTTCAGATGTCAAGATAATGCCCTCTAAATCTTCCGTTATATTTTATATATTCATATAATACTTACACATTAATGCTTAACAAGTGCCCAACTTTTTTAATCCAGTATTTGACTAACTATGAAAGAAAGCACAAACTTGAAAACAAATGTATACATACAGATTTGCAGAGGGTCCCCTGTTGCAGCAAATTCTAATGCATAGGGATGCAATAATCCCGACCACAACGAAAATTAGGGTTGTCACCAAAAACCCCATTTCCAATCCGATCTCCCCGATGAACAACTTACTACAGTTTCTCTGCGACAGTGATCTCAAATTAATACACAAATCCATAACTCGAATTTCGAATTTTTAAACAACAACAATCAGAATTGCAAAAAATTGCCAGAGAACGGTTTAAATTCAAACGATTCAATATACCATTGGTACAAAATCTCAACACATTCGTAAAAAATGACAGTACCCAAAAATCCGGTGACCGGAGGATGCTTCTACGGTAACTTGAAGATGCTAGATCCGACGTCGCTTTGATCTGATTTGGCGTTTCGTCGAACGGATAGACTACTGAAATTGAAAATCAATATTTAAGGCCAGTTTAATGAATGATTGGGAAAAGAAAGTTTTGGGCCAAGGTTGATTGATGGCTGAAGATATGGGCTTTCACAAGCAGTGAAGAGTTCGGGCTTGATTAAATGAGACAAATTTAAGGCCAATTTAGTTTCGGGCTCAACTATTGGGAACAATTCACAATATAAGAAATTAATTACGATCCATTTCAAAACTAAGAAACAAAATTTATTATTTCAGAAATTAGTTATTAATTAAGTTTTATTTATAAAATAATGAAAATATCTTTTATTAATTAAATATATTATAATCACAATTACGTGCTTATAGATCACAACTTATTTCTTAATTACATATTATGGTCACAATACATGCTTATAGATCACAACTTATTTCTTGATCACATATTATTAAATTAATTTGTCACAAATTACTTTTCGATTACAAGTGATTTTTTATAAATCATGATTTATTTTACGGCCATAAATCACAAAATTTATAGGTCACAACTTATTTCGCAATCATAAATTATCGAATTATTGGTCATAATTTACCAACTTCTGAGCGACAATTATTAATCTAGTCAAAATAACACATTCTTTTAAATAACATATTATTTACTGATTACAAATTAACAATTTATCGATCACAAACACTCTTTGTACCCCACCATCATAATGAGCACCATTGCCTTCAGAACCACCACCACCACCTTCCCAGCATCACAACAGCACCTACAAAACCACTACAACACCATCGCACAAAGCACCACCATACCCACAACATACCACCATTGCACACGACACAACCACAATGCACAACGCACCATTGCACCCACATCACACCACTACTGTGCTGCACAAAAAACTCATTGACCACCGCAACCCATGACTCCATCGACTATGGAACAATTCAAAATTAGAAATAATAATAAAAAAAAAGATTTGCGACAAAGGAGCAAGGAGGAGAGCCATCGTCGGAGGAGCGACGAAGGAGGAGCGCCGTTCCAATCATGTCTTTGCTGCATCCCTGTCACAGTCAAGTGATGCTATGAGCGTTTCCCCCATGAGCGATGGTCACAGTCCATTTTGCACGATAGCCTTAAACTTTAGCTCCGGGTCTAGATCACAACTATAATCAATTTACTAAGGCTCCTTTCTGCCTTCATTTGACAACCATTCCAAGGAAGACTTTCCCAGCAGCAAAAGGGAGGCACTTCAATAGCATCAAAAGGGTACCTTCCTCCCGGTTATGCCTCTATTTAACCGCTTTCCCTATTTGCTTACGGATTTGCTTAACGATCCACTTCGCATATGGGCTTTATATTCTCTAGGGTGTCAACCATAAGTTTGATTACATCGCGTTTAGTTCGAGCTGGGCGATGAAAAGTTTGGCGAGCGATGCAGCATCATTGGAACTTCAATAGAGAGGGGAGAAGGTGGGGAGGGAAAAGTTAGAGAGTGAGGGAGAATATACTACAAAACCTTCATCCCCCTCCCCTCCAAAAAACAAAAATGAAATCTTTTTTATTTTAGTTTTTTGCAATAAATTTTGTGCCACAATATATTTATAGAGGAAATTTCACGTAATGTCCATTTTCAGCGAGTCATTTGCCAAAATGTCCACAATTTTGTCAATGTCCATTTTCGAATTATGTAGACGAAAATACCCCTGTTAGAAATATTATTTTCACACAAGAATTCAAAATTTTCCATATCACTATTCATGTCAATCAATGTAGAAATGTCAATCAACATTAAATGCCTGGGTTGGATAGGTGTGGGTCGATGTGGGTCGGGTTATGGGTCAAGTAGGTGCGGGTTGAGTTGGATCGAGTTATGGGTAAAAAATGGAAAACCTGATATAACTCGACCCGAATACAAAAAAAAAAAAAAATGAAGGCAGGGGAATGAAAAAATAAAAGAAGCCCTAAACTAAGTCCTCTTAACTCTCACTCTTAGTCTCTCAATCTTCACTTTGACCCAACTCGCCGATAACGAGCATGTCCATTTCTCTCTTATTTTCCCAGTTGCCGTTTGCCCACCACACTTCAGAGTCCAGTGCTATAGAGTAAGTTTATTTCGTTATTTTTTTTATTTCGTTATTTTTTTCACTTCCCCAAGTCTCCACTCTTCCTAAATCCTAAGATTTGGCTAGTTTAACATAAATTGATGTCAAGGTCACTGAGTGTCTTTATTCTATTGGGCGAGCAAATACTAACTGTTGATACAATTTGAGATAAAAAGTGGTACATGTGAGATACTGTAAAAAAGGTTGAAGAGGTAAAGTGTTTAAAGAAATCAGGAAAATGATTGTACTTTCTGTTGTCCCTGTTATTGTATTTTTGCTTTTGAGATATAATCTATATGTGAACTAAATTTGATGCTGCTGGATGATAAATAACACTAGTACGAAGTGAAGAATACTCCATTTGAGGCATATTTCGCATCTGAGTTAGGCAATAAACATGATGAAATGACACAGATTGTGTTGCTATTATACACTCTTAAGACTGTTTGAATGCTCATCAGCAACTAAATAGCTTCATTTTCGCATCAAATTTGTTCTGCATTTTGTTGAGGGTTGCATTTGTATATTGATGGTTTCTTATGGAGGAAGACTGTGATAGATTGATAACAGATAGAAGAATTTGTCAAATCTTACGACATGTATACTTGATTTTGCGTATGGTCTGTTGTAGTTGGCTCTAAATTTATTTAATACAAGGCTATGTTGTTGTTATTTATTTTGTTAAAGAATATTGTATTTTCGACTTATTTGCATATCTAAATTAGGCAATTAACTTAATGAAATTGTAGAAGATTATGTATATACTTTTGAACTGTTTGAATGGTGATCAACTATAAAATGGTTACATGATATCTTCAGATCAGAAGTCAGGTTTGTTTTAATTTCAACAATTAAACAGCTTAGTTTAGATATGATATTTTATCAAACCATTGTATTGTAAAAATTATTTTTCTTGCACTGCATTTTAACAAGAATGTTATATTTGATTTCATTTGTACGTTCTCATAGTATTTGTTAAAGTATTGTTTTCATTTGTAGATGAGTATGACACACCGATATAATATTTCGGAGGAAGAACGTGTTCCGGCCCATGTGTCGCAAGTGAGCAATACAAAATATATATCAGTTGTCCTCAACAAATTGAATCCACGGCAAAAGCGTCAGTTGGAGGACAGTTGTATAGGACATGTTGCAAGGTTACCGGAGCTGAAACTATCTGCTCAATTAATTCATGAAATGGTAAACAGATCGGTGGTATGCCGAAAGCGGTTTGAGGCTTGGTTCAAGGTGAACCAAAGGTTTGCACGATTTGGACTACCGGAGTTCGCACTAATTACTAGCTTGAAGTGCAGTCCAATGCCTAAAGGTGCCGAAGTTGACAAAATCCTAGAGAAAACCCGTCTACAAGATAAAATGTTTGCTAATATGGACCGGATAACGTGTAGCGACCTGGAGAAAGCTTTTTTGAAATGTGCCAACCGTAACGATCGTTACAAGCTTGGGTTGGCACTAATTATTGAAGGGGTATTTAATTCAGAAGATCGAAATGTAGGAATAAATTCAACAACTTTTTCCATCGTTGATGACTTGGATTTTTTCAATGCCTACCCATGGGGGACAGTATGTTTTCAACTTCTCATCAAATCACTACTACGTGGATGGGGAAGAAAGGCGGACATGGTAAAAGTGAATGATTGTGATAGGATGACTTACACATTATACGGATTCCCTCTTGCTGTCCACGTATACATCTATTTTGGTTCATTTCAGTTCTTCTCAATTCTCATTGTTATTTATCTCCAAATATGGTTATTACTGTTACAAATGTCATGCAGATTTGGACGTACGAGGCAATTCTGGAGTTGGAAGCTCGATTCTCGAGTAAGACTTGTGACGATGTCCCGAGGATGTTGCGGTGGTCTGGCATGAAACAACCCCATTCCTGAACATATTCAGATTTTTTTGAGAAGACAAATGTAGGCGATTTACATACTTAATTGCCTTACACTTCGCAATATATATTTTTTCATTTCGCCTATTTTTCTTCTCCTGTAGGTGCACTTGTGGGCTAAGTTGCGAGCAACTGCTGCAGAAGAATTACAGCCGTATTTCGTCGATCTAGTTCCGTTGGAAGACGCAGCCGACCCCGTTTTAGATGATCTTGTTGCTCAATCAATAGAAATACAAGCTTGTCCAGTTGACGATGATGTCATACGGAACGATGACAACAACCATCGACCAAATAAATCCCAGAGAGGCAACAAAGGTGGACCTCGTCATCGAGGTTTGCATCTGGTTGAAGGCAGAGAAGAAGAGTATGGGGATCCCATCGTTGAAAGACATGTGTCTTTAAATGAGATAAGAGTTATCTTGAATGAGCAACGGGAGGCATTTGAGAGCAAGATGGGGGATTTGAGGAAAGAAATAAACACAAGATTCGCTAGTCTCCAAAATGATCTGGGAGGTCATGTGTGTGGTTTGAGAAATCATGTCACTGATGAGATGAATGTTTTTCGACGAAGGTTTGATGAAGTTGCTACAGAAATTGGACAACACAATGTTGGTGCTGAGTATGGTAGATTTGGTCATGACGATCGCAGTGGAGACGAGCCCCGACATGATGTTTTCACTCCCAATATTTTTACAGACAGACAGGATGTCGAAGAGGCAACCGAACCAGTTGTTTGCAATATCCCTGATGTGTCCATAACGTCAGGAGGTGGGGTTGGAGTACTTGGGTCAGTATATGTTGCTTGTGATATTGTGAAAGAGGCACCAGCCGTCGTACCTACAGTTAACCATTGATGATCAACTGGTTCATGATAGCATCGTTTCTGGACCTTCGATGGCAGCTGATCCACCTACACATAGACCTCGATCGTTGAGGTTGAAGAAGGCTAGTGTAAACACAAAGACGTCATACACACGATCTGGTGCAAGAGGGGTAAGAGGGATGCGTAGAATTTAGAGGTTTACCTATTTTGATTTATATGGTGGTTTTTCAATATGTATTTTGGTTTATGTCGTGGTACGGAAAATATATTTTGGTTTAGACAGTG